TGATTATTCTTTATATCTCACTTTATTTATTAACTATCTTTGATATAAGTGTAGTATATTACTGCTATAAAAAATAATTGAGTTAAAAGATAATAATATCTATTATGGACATTATTTTCTAATTAAATATAATTATTATGAATGATATTGAATGTGATTAGAATATTTCATAAAATTAATATGCAGGAAGAAAAAACTTAAAAATTTTACATTATCATTCAATTATATATATATTAATTAGATCTATTATAAATTACTATCCAAATATAATTTATTTAGACTTTAAAAAAAATATGGGCATTAGTGATAAGATATTAATTAGAATAGCTTTATCATATTCAAATTTAAAATATCTTAATTTATGAGATAATTGATAATAACTGATGAAGAACTATATTAAATTACATAATCATGCTATAAATTAAAATATCTAAATATTTCTTACTATAGAGATATTATCAATAAATTATTAATAGCAATTACAGAATTGTATTATAATTTGAGAGAGTTTTATTTTAATAAAATATATTGGATTACTGATAAAACTGTAAATTATATTTTAAACTCAAGCTCTAATTTATAATGCTTAGATATATCAGCTAGTCATGAAAAAATCAAAGATACTGATATGTTAATATAAGCACATCTCAAAATAAAATATCTTGATTTTGCTGGGATTATAGCTTTTTGAAATAATTTTCTTATAGTAGCTATTATCAGATCTTCTTTAAATTTAAAATATTTTAATATTTCCTATAATGATATTGATGATGAGATTGTTGAAGTACTAGCTTATACATGTCATAAAATAGAATATCTTGATCTTAAAGAATGTGATTTTATTACCAAATTATTGATATACAATATTATTTATTCTTGTTCTAAACTTCAGCATCTTAAACTTGAATTTTGTGATATTTCTAATAAAATAATTAAAGAAATGATCTGTTTGTGTTCTAATTTAAAATATCTTGATTTGAATAGTTGTAAAAATATTAGTGAAAAAGTAATAAAATAATTCAATTCAAGTATACATATTGAAAATTATGATTCATTATATAAACAATCCAATTCTGAATTATCTGATATATAATAAATTATATTCACTATATTATATTATAATGGATCCTGATTATTTAGATGAAAAATGATCTGATTCTGATCTATCTCTATATATTCTAATATTTACTAGTTTATTATTAGATGAAACAAATTTTATTTCTGCATTTAATAATTGTATTAGAGAGACTGGTAAAATTATTTCTAATCATTTATTATAAATTATAAATAATTATATTTAGTAGTAGAGAATGGATAATTATTTTCTGAGTTATTTTTTTGATTATAATATATATCATTAAATAATATATATTTGACATAGTTTTTATAGAATTACTCATAAAGAGAAAAATCCTAGTAAAAGTATTAATTGATATAACATCTAAATTCAATACTATTAGCAGATGCTTGTATAATAAGCTTGAAGAAGATTATGAGTTAGAAGATATATTTAGTGATGATTTGATAAATAAAAAAATAAAATATTTAGATTTGCAATTTTAGTATATAGGAAAGTGATGAAGTTTAGATGGTACTGAAGTAATAGACTTTCAAATTTACAAAAATTCATCATTTAATTTAATGCTAGGATGAAATTAATTATGGATACATGAAGTAAAAATAAGCTTTGATCCTTATGTTAAAATTGTAATAAATAATATGAGTATTCTATTAATCAATTTTAACAAAGCCAGCTCTAGTAAAAATAGCTCATCTAAGTTTGATTTATTAATAAAGAAGATCACAAATATGTTTAAGAATTTATCTCTCAGAAGTAAAGATAATAAGTAATGAAAGAGGTATTATGATTAAAGATAATATAGCAAGTATATAATGCTTATTTATCACCTGTTGCAACATGTTGCAACTTCAAAATTTTATAAATCACAACTAGTTACAACTAGATAATACTTTATTTATCACCATGTTATAATAATTGAGAAGTTATCTTTAATTATAATGATATATCTCTTATATCTCTAACATATAGAAGAGCTAGCAAGAATAAGAAATATCCTAAAGTAGATTTAGGTAATGGATGTGGAAATCTTTCAATCAAAATACACCTCAATAATATTTGGAAGTCAGTTCATTCTATAGAAAATGATATAGAGTATAGAATTTTTGAAAAACTTTGTATTATTGAATATAAACTAAGTTATATAAATAAAATAAAGTTATCATGAATAAAATCTGAGATAAAGATTAATTCATCTAGCTCCAATTCAGAATCCATGAGTTCAGACTGATATGATCTTGATTCAAAAAAATCCAAAAGAAATGCATCTATGTTACAAAGAAAAAGATTATCTCTCCTATCTAAAAATATCATAAAAATAAGCCAATTAGAACTAAGTAATTATCAAACTGAAAATTTAAAAGTTCATGTAATTATGTATATGATAATAATTAGTTATGCACTATTTGTGAAGTACATCAAAATATTATATATAAAACTGCTGAATTAGCAGAGTTAGAAGATTAATATGTGTCTGGTTACTAGCTTCATTATTAATAGTTAATTTTATTAAGAAAAATACAAAAGAATCAATACTATAAAATATTAATATGAAGGATAACTGGTAAATTAATAAATCATATACATAGTAACTCTCAATATAATGATTTCTTAATAATATGATGTTGACTAATATAATACTTTTTTTTAAATCTAACTCAGTTATAATAAAATTGAGCTCAATATAATGAAAATTACTTATAATCTTGTGATATAATATTATAATAATATTATTATATAATTATATAAGTAAAATAATCTTGATATAATAAAGTTCATAAATTATTATCATAATTAGTAATTATTTTATTAAGCAAGAAATCATATTAAATTAAACCAATTAATTTAAATCAAATTAATTAAGATTTCAATATTTTTATGATAAGTTATTCTCTTTAACTCATTCTCATAACAATTAAAAAATATAAATAATAGAAGTATAATTAGCAAAAAATCTGTAATAAAGTAAGTTTCTCTAATGAACATTCAAAAAAGAGATTTGTATTTAAAAAAGAAAGCTCACCCTAATTTGACTTATACAATACTTGCTAAATTATATAAAATTAAAGAAAATACTATCTCTACTATTCTTAAAAATTCATCATACTAGCTAAATCTAGATGAAAGTTTTTTCTTAGCAAAGAGGAAATGTGAATGAATTACTATATATTCTGTAATTGAAGAAGCTCTTTATACATGGTTAAAATATGCAAATCAAGTTTTCCAAGTTATATCTGGTCATATTTTACAAAAAAAAGTGAAAGATTTTACAACTCTGGCAAATATTGATAATTTTAATGCATCAGATAGCTAGCTTTTGAATTTTAAAAAATATTATAATCTTTAAGCATACAAATAAAGAGATGAAATTGCTAGTACTCTAATTAATAATCTTTCTTAATTTCATGATGAACTTAAAAGAATTATTGAGAATTACTAGTTAGAAGATATTTATAATTGTGATGAGATCATATTATATTGGTAACTTCTGCTATTGAAATCTATTATGACTGGTTCATCTTCTGAAATCAAAAAGTTAAAGTAACATATTATAATCTTATTAACTATTAACACTATCAAAAGTTATAAATTAAAACTATTAATTATTAATAAATAGCAAATTCTATGCTTATTAAAACATATCAACAAAATATCTCTGCCTATTTACTATTTTTGGAATAAAAATACCTGAATAATGGTTGATATTTGAGATTTATCTCAAAAATCTTAACAATATAATATAACAAAGTGGATATCATATTCTTCTTTTAATTGATAACATAACATATTATTTTATTGATATTATTGATTTATTAAGTAATATCAAAGTTTATTTTTTGCTATCAAATACTACTTCTCATTTGCAACTTATGAATATAGGGATTATTTATAGTTTTAAGATTAGTATAAATTAACATTTTTAATTAAGTTGAAAGATCATTATTTAACATAATATTAATTTAAAGACCAACTATTGTCATCTTTTCTATGAAAACCATATTGATACATATAATCTTACATTAAATACAAGAATAAAAATTTCTGAATTTACTATTATGGAAGCAATTACATTAGCTGCAAGCACGTGAGATAATATTAATATTAACACAATTCAGAATAGTTAGAAAAAAACTCAGATACTATCACAATTCAACATGAATATCGATAATGAAATGAATACATTCTTTAATTTTAATGAAGAGGAGAAAGTTACCAATAATACTAATATTTAATATTTAATTAATCAATTATCTATTTCAAATTCTTTAACAGCTAATTAATTTATCTAAATTGATAATGAGCTCGATCATCAAAGAATACTGACTAATAAAGAGATAATCAAAATGGTAAAGTATTCTGATAAACCTGAAGAATTCAAAGAATCCAAAGAGCCTGAAGAACAGTTTTCTATTATCAAAAGTGGTGAAGCGGTTCACAGAATAGATGTAATTACTAATTATATTAGATAGCAGAATCAAGAGTTTGTTATTACACATGAAGAATTTAAAACATTATTAAATATAAAGAAAAAAATACTCTTACATTCAATTAATGTGAAGCGACAAGGCATCTTAGATTCTTTTCTAAAATAGAATAGTTATCTAAACAATTGCCATACTGTACTGCTAAGAATTTTCGCTTGATATAATGATGTTTCACGTGATTCAAATATGATCTTCATTATAACAAGATCGCTTGATATAATGAACTTTCGATAATATGAACCTTTTGGTCCGGCCCGACAACATCATCTTATCAAGAGCCACTGTGTATTGTAGTCGCTGTCAATTAATTAGTATGAAATTTGGTCACCAATGTAGACCATATAAAAATTAATTTCATTGTAGTTCGTAAATATGTCTATCAATAAAGTTATTATTTATTGCGTATTTCGTAATTACATAAGAGCCTCTGGATCTCGCTATGTCTGGCTAAAAATTTGTACGAATTGAGCATGAATTCCTTCCCATTCTTCCATAAGATTATCGAGCCATTCAGTACTTAAACCACTTTTTAGTATACCACGACGTGATAACTCTCCACCGACCAGCCTCTCCCGATCTGTTAAAAATTTACGATATTTTCTAGGGTCTTCTTTACTTTCTATTCCACCGCGATAAAAGCGTATATCTCTTTCCAAATCCCCACGAA